GAGTGAAGCCCAATAGCAAACCAGTTTAAATGTAAGTGGAAATGAGTCCCAGGTGTTCTTGTTGCCAGCGAGGACTGAATAGTACGTCTAAGGAAAGTATTGTGTGCATGGCTTAGTCATCTCATTTGTGAAGTAGTAGGTCTAAGACCAGGAGGGAGAATTTGGAAGTCAGGCTTGAAGCTTTTCATAGCTCGGTGATCAGAAGTGCAGAGCTGCACATATGGACCAGCTTCTCTCACTGATGCTAAATTGGGAAGCAGTGGGAGGGGTGTAATTGGAGGATGTAGATTAATCCACTTGGTTGGAGCGCTTGGCTAGAGAGCCTTCTGTTTCTCATTGATCAAAGTAGACTCTGTTATTTGACAGTAGGTCATGTTGGACTTGTACAGTGTGCATCCTACTTAGTGGCAGGAGTAAAGTTGATGCAGCGCCTTCTCATGTTTCACTGGTCCTTTTTCCAAGGGCCTGCTTCTTATCTATTCTTGCTCTTTGTGGAATGGGAGGAAAAATACCAGACAGAGGTCCAAAACACACTGCAGGAATAATCCAGTTTGGGAATGCTTTAACTGCCCTAGCTCAGTGCTAGGGAATCCTGGGAATTGTAGTTTATTGTGGCACCAGAGCTCTCTGATAAAGGTAAATATCTCACCAAACTACAGTTCCCAGAAATCCATAGCATTGAGCCAGGTCAGTTAAAGCAATTTCAAAATAAATTCTGCGATGTGCTTTGGACCAAGGAGTTCTAATCTGATAGATGGGAAATTATTGGAGGATATTAGAATAGAATTTTGGAGGGGTACATTCAAATAGATTTTACAGTTTGGTATTACATAGTTACCCAGATCTGCTGTACTTGGTCACATTTGGGAAATTATTTTTGCTGTGGGTCATTGCATAGAGCAGGGCTGAACAATTCATAGCCCTCCAGAGGTTGTTGGGCTGCATTTCCCAATAGCCCTGGAAATAATGGAGCTGCAACAGACTTATTTTTATGCCTTCCTCTTGGTGTGGGACCCAGGATGGCTAACAAACAATAAAACAAAATTAGATGGTCACATGTTCTGTACCTCTGGCATAAAACAAGACCAGCAGAACTAAGAAGCTTGATCCTATTTGCATGAAAGTTAAAACACTTGAATTAAAGTATCACCTGGTGGCAGGCCTGCTTTTCTACATGTCATTGTAGTAGCTTTGAAGAAGACAACATCTTCCTCTCATCCTGAATGGAATGCCTGTAGCAATTACTATATTGCTGAAATGGTTGCAAATATCTGTTATTCCTAGTGAGTTTGTTTTTGTGGTGTATATTTGTAGGTAAGGTAAATATATTTACCTTATATAATATAAGGTATATTAAAATAAATATATTTACCTTATATATATTTGCATATTTGTACAGGTTTTAAATACTTTCCCCTTCTGCACATTCAACTTTGTAAACTGCTTTTGGAGTTTTACATAAGAGTTTGGTGTACAAAATTACAAATGAATAATTTGAATGTTGACAAATCAGCATGGTGCAGTAGTTTGAGTATTGGACTGCAACTCTGGAGAGTTCGATTGTCAGCTCAGCCATGAAAGCCACTGGGTGGCTTTGGGCAAGTCACACACTCTCAGGCTCAGGGGAAGGCAATGGGAGACCTCCTCTGAACAGATCTTGCAAAGAAAACCCATTGATAAGAGTCATCACAAGTTGGAAATGACTTGAAGGCACACAACAACAAAACATATGTACTACATCTGAAGAAGTGGGTTTATATCTATGAAAGTTCACACTAAAATAAAAAACCAGTCTTAAAGGTGTTGCTACTTTACTTTACTTGCTCTTTCAAATCAGAGATACTATATCCCTCAAAGTAAAAGAGAACAGGTAGAGTTTGAAAGGTAGGATTGCACGTATGCATCATGTTGGAGGCCTGTGCCATTTTGTCTTATGTGAAAATACAGTCGCCCCTCCGTTTTTGCAGAGGATCTGTACTGGTCCCCCCATAAAAATGGAGATTTGCAAATATTCAAGCTCCATAGGCTTGAATGGTGCGTGCCCCTGCGGATGTGTGCAGGAACGTACCCCATTGATTTTAATGGAGGTCGGCCCTCTGTGAATATGCAGAACCACGGACTTCAAGTCTGCAAGAATGGAGGGGCGACCATACAATGAGCTGTATATTGCTAGATAAAGGTCCATGTGGAAGATCTGGAAGGCTTTCTGGACTTTTTGCCTTCCAGGAGGATTATTGTGTATATATGCTAGAAACTTTATTTCTATCCAGGGCCATGTTACTTTGGGAGATAATCTGTCAGAGATTTCATGCAGACAGTGGATTGGGCTGGAACCAGTTATGGACGGGGCCAAATACTTGTCTACTTGCCCTCTGCCTCTCCACCTGACTGTATGCTGGGTGGGAGAGGCTGTTTATTCATTTGAAAGGGCCTTTGGAGTCAATCCAAGGGCCTGTGAGATCAGGTTGCCCACTGCTGCTGCATGGACTGCTTTTTCCCATATCACAGGGCCATATGTTTTGCATATAAGGGACAGTACCAGTTGGATGTTCCATGTGCCCTTTGAAGAAGATCTTGTAGTAGACAGGTCAATCCCATCTCTGTCCCTAGCTACTGAGACAGAAATGGAAATTTGCACTGCTATGGCTGTAGTCACATCCTTTGTGAGGAATGTGGGACAATAAAGAAATATCTGGCCTGACAGTACTTAAAAGAAAGCTAGCTCCTGATGCTGTGGCATTGTTTGAAAGCTAAGCAGCTTTCTAAAGAAAGAGCTAATGATAATCGTAATGAATAAGAGTCAGGGCCTTTTCAGACTGCTAGAAATAGTGCAAATTGAGTCCACTTTAAGGGTTAGGGTTAGGGAATCATGGGAACTGTATTTTATTGTGGACTCAATTTGCACTATTTCTGGCAGTCTGCACAGGCCCTCAGTCTTCTTGTTACATAGTTCTCGCACATATATTGGGTATGTTAATGTTAAAGCAAAGATGTCAGCATGCATTGTTATATTAGTTATTATAAAATTAATCCATTATGGAATCTATTAGTAATATGTTAGTAATCTGTTGCTTTTAGGTTTTTTAAAAAGCCAGTTAACATGATCATCCAATTTACCCCCTAAATGTAACTGATTAAAATGTTTTAATAAAAAGTTGGGGTTTAGCACTTTGCAAATGTTTTAACTCTGTGTTAATTGTTCTTGCACAATTGCCGAATTTTATTGGAGACTGCAGGTGTAATTCAGCATTTGAAAAAGACACATCTAGTCTTTCTATATTTGAACCAAATTGCCCACTTAATGTTTATTATTATTATTATTATTATTAAAGTTTATTTCTAAAGTGCTGTCAATGTACAATGTTGACCCTGTTTGCTCCCATGAAACACATCTACATGACTTTCTGTATGCTTAGTTCAGCTGATGGGATTATGTAATTTTCATACGGACTAAAGCAGCAGAATCTTTAAATTGTCCTGACAGTTCTAACTACTGTGAAGTTGAAGGCTTTCATGGCAGGCATCCATGTTTTTGGTGGGTTTTTCAGGCTGTGTGGCCATGTTCTAGAAGATTTTA